TGTAGTTTCCTAAAAGGATCGTAAGACTAATATATATATATATTATATATATATATATATATATATATATATATATATATATATATATATATATATATATATATATATATGAGGTACAATACAGGACAGCCAATCAGAGCAGAACTCATTTACATATGTATTGTGCCTCGTTTAAAAAGCAGTCCAGGCTGAAGCCTTCCTTATAATTTCAGCAGAAGTTACGTATAACTGCGGCATGGCTAAACTGCTGTATGCTGGACATTTAATGACATCATGAAAACATGACAGCACAAAAACAATTTCAAAACAAGCTGTTTTTGCAGTTCAGTGTTTACATATTACATCAAACCCTTTAATTTTCAAAAAACATACAAAGAGTTTCCACAATATGGACCTATAAATTCATTTCTCCAATAATAAGTCACTGATATTGAACTTATAACAAATCATGTGCGATTTTACATCTCTCACATTCTCCATATCTCACTCTGACACTAATTCTTTCAAAAAATATGAATGTTGATCAAATTTAGACTGCAAATTCTCAACACTACTGTTTGTAGTCACCTCACCATACTTTTTTCTATGTTTATAGATAAGAGTTTCATACAGTGTCAGAACCCACATATGCAAGTCTGTTAGAGATACTAAACACCACCACACGGTTTGAAGCCAATGTGTGATTTAGGTGTGGAGTTAACACCACGCTAATTTGGGGCGTATAAGCTTACATTACTTATTCACTACATTAGCCTTGTAGCTCCAGCGCGAAGCTAAAGAAGCAAGCTTGCAAACTTCAGACACCAAACGTCTTGGCTGATCGGCTGCATGAGGGGGGAAAACTGTTTGTGTTGAACTGATTCCTTTAAACGTTTTTAAAATGCCTCTTTCACAGTCTTTCAGCAGTGTGAAAGACTTCTTTAATGCTTACCATTAAACCATTCATTCACCGTTCATTCACGTCAGCATGTTGACTGACCCAGAAAGAAAACATTTGTTAATTCCACAGAAACTGTAGAATTTTCTGAAGTTGTGAAGCTAAGAAGGAGCTATCATAATTTTTTGTTTCCTCACAGAGGCAGTCAGGCCAGCCTAGACGATCATCGATGAGCCGAGCACCCCAACTTACTCCTGGAATAGGAAGCATGGTAAAAAGACACTTATTCTCCTTCACCTGTTTTCTCTGCATTTATTAAAAAACCCTCAGTAGATCTAAGAAGGTTTTCTCTGCATGTTTTCTTCCTGCAGCAACACTTCTTTGATGATGACGACAGGATGGTTCCCAGCACTCCGACTCTCGTGGTGCCGCACCGCACTGACGGCTTTGCTGAGGCGATTCAGTAAGTAGGAGCTGGATGTGGAACAGGGATTAATGCTGTATTCCCATTTCGGCAATAGGCATAAGATGTTCCACGTACTTCAGTGGAGCACCAACAGAAAACTGGTCCACCATATGCAGCACATGGCTTGCAAGAGTTCGCTAGCGGTGGAATAAATCAAATGTTGATTTTGAGGTCCATAGTTTTATTAGTTAAATTTACCCAATAGCTTGTGCTCTTGTAACGTAGGATAAACCTCAAGGCACTGCAATTTTCTTTACTCTGAAGTCAGAGCGAATGTGAAATAACGTGTTTCGGGTTTTTTACAGTGACATTTATGAGTGAAACACGATACCTGTGACAATCTTTGAGCTTGCTGAACCACCAACTACCATAGCAATGGCCTAGCAACACCTTAGCAACCCCCTGGATACCACAGCAAAAGCCAAGCGACACTGTAGCTGCTACCTGAGAACCCATAGCAATAGCTTAGCAATACCTTAACAACCCAGTTGATACCTTAGCAACAGCCCAGCATCCACCATAGCAACCACCTGGGATAACATGAGCAGCCAGACACCTTACAGTCATCTGGGGTTGCATTGCAGTGGTCTAGCAACACCTCAGCAACCACTTGGGATAACATAGCAACACTTCAGCAACTACTTGGGATTTCATAGTTAATGTTATTTTGCATATATATTATTTTGTATTTTGCCTAAAACAGGTCAGTTTTTATTACAGGTTGGCGTCAAATAAATATTTCAGACTGCCAGCACTCCTTTGATCTTGATCCTTTTTCAGCAGACTAAAAATATGACACGGTCACTACGGCAATATTTACGTGGTTAAAATTCACTGTTGGTGACATACCATTGTTGTTTACACTAATTCTGCGGTGGGGCATAGAACAGATTCGCCCCCCCCACCACAACACTGAATGTCTTTTTTTTGGACTTGAATGGATTACACCTCTTGACTTACTACGTTGTTCTCTCTCAGTTCTCCTCAGGTTGCTGGGGTCCCCCGGTTCCGTTTTGGTCCCCCTGAGGACATGATCCCTCAGACCAGCTCGTCTCACTCCGACCTTGGTCAGCTGGCCTCTCAGGGAGGTGAGTATGCTAACTGCTCTAGAGCCCAGACACTGACTTTGTTATAGCTTAAATAAACAGCCATCAACCCTTAACTTTGTCTCTGTTTTATGGATTTATGTTCTCCACTGTACATTTGGGGTAAAGGGAAATGTTTGCATTACGCTAAATTAAAACAGTTGTTTTCATGCATGTTTCAGGTTTGGGCATGTACGAGAGTCCCCTCTTCCTGGCGGCTCATGATGAAGAGTCTGGAGGCAGGAGTGTCCCCACCACCCCTCTGCAGGTGGCAGCACCAGGTAGCCAATCGCAACACTACTTTTGTTAAATAATTGCTTGGAACTGACCGCTATGTTGGAAATGGTCCCTTCCCTAATTATTATTTTCCAAAGGAGCAATTCATGGATGTTACAGGGAGCATTATTTTAGTCAAACATACTCATATGCAAAAGTCTGACCTCCCCTGGTCAAATTACTTATTGTTTTTCTAAGTGAAAACGCATTCTCTGTAGAGAGCACATTTAAATATGGCATATTTCTGTAAATTTAATGGTGCAGTTTCTACTTATTTCGTTCAACATATACTGTGAAATATGCCATAATACATATATATATATATGTATGTGTGTCTGTGTGTGTGTGTGTGTGTGTGTGTGTGTGTGTGTATCTGTGGATGAAACTCATAGAATCGATTATATTCAACTTTATCTTTGTCTGTAAAGTGACCGTTTTCACGGAGAGCCAGCCCTCTGATGTGTCTGAGCCGGCCTCGCAGTCCGTCCCCATGGTCAGCACCTCCACAGCAGGCCTGACCGTACCGGGTGAGGCTGTTCCTGGAGACGACGGTGACGATGTCTTCATGGCAGAAGCAGAGAGTGAAGGGTGAGGAACCGCAAGGCTTTAGAACTCACTGTAGAGTGTAATATGCAGTATTGTTGTTTTCTTCTTTAATGTTGTAGTGTTATATTGTAGTACTGTAGCATGCTTGCTTCAAAAGCAGCAGTGTAGCAGAGAATGAAAGAATAGCTGCGGGTTAGAGGTATATAAATTACATTGTGCTAGTAGGTGACTACTAACTTCCTTTCATTGTTTCTGATAGGCCTGTTCCTGCTTTGAATGTGTTTTTTTGTGTTTGAGTAGAACCAGTGGAGAGGCGTCGTTGGAGAGCCAGTCTGAACTGGAGTCAGCTCAGCCTTCTGATGACGCCAGCCTGCCTTCCACCAGCCAGGAACCGACCTCCAGCTCTGCTCCAGGTAGACTGTAGGGATGGGTCAGAATATGCAGTTTCGCTTCTCTCTAATGTTATCCGCTCTTTTGGTCAGGGTTTCTTATTTGTTCAGTCCAAAGAAGGAAGAGTAGAAAGACTACAGTGAGTTCCTTTTACCCTGTTCTTCAGTGGTCAGGACCCCCATGGAACTCCAGCAGCACTGCTGTGTCTGATCTACTCAGACCAGCGCAACACACACTAACACACCACCAGTGCTGAGAATGATCCACCACCCAAATAGTACCTGCTCTGTGAGGGTCCACGGGGGTCCTGACCACTGAAGAACAGGGTAAAAGGGGGCTAACAAAGTATGCAGAGAAACAGATGGACTACAGTCTGTAACTGTAGAACTACAAAGTGGAGCTGATAAAATGGACAATGAGCGTAGAAACAAGGAGGTGCTCATAATGTGATGCCTGATTGGTATATAAACGTGGACTACAGTATGTTGCATAGCTACAAATGGTAGTAACAGCCAAGCATGCGATGCAGTTTGGAAAATACCACCATTATTTCATATTTTTCAAAACATTAATTTTTTCATTTTTGTGTGTTTTTGTTCGTTTAAATGCCTTACCATGAATCTTCCTACACCTCCTTTTCAGACACCAGCAGCAGCAGCAGTCAGCAGCCTAGGCCCACAGAGAGGGTCCTAACCCAGACACAGCCCCACCGCAGAGGACTCATCAGGAGAGGTCTTTATCACTCACATGCACACCAGCAGTCTTTTAGCTCAGCCCTCACCTCAGTGAAAGGGTTCAGACCATATCATATATGCACAAAACACACAAGAAGCCTTGATGTGAAAGTTTTTGAGTTTTAATAAACGCAAAGAATGATTGCAGGGAAAAGCATACAGTTTTGAAAAGAAGCATCACTTTGGGTCAGTTATTCAAAATATCTCTGTACTTTAGCCTCAAACTTTGTTACAGGGCAGAAAATCTCTGAGTGTGATGTTTGAATAAAGTTTTTCATTTTGGTGTTTCTGACCAGGTCTCTCTCTCTCTCTCTGTCCTCTCTCTGCAGGGATGGGCTTTCCTCGGGGAGGACGTGGGCGAGGCCTAAACAGAGGCACTCCCTTCTGATCATGTCTCTCACCATTACGGCTGTTTAAATCCTTCTTTCTGCACTCAATCATGGAAGACCACCAGTGTTCTGACTTATGTTTTTATCAGTAATCTGCCCTCGGTGTGTTCTGCCATGCTGATGAATTTATTTTTGCTATTTTTTACTACTTTGTGAATAATGACCCTGAAGCTGTTCAGTGTTTTTGCTAATAAATGGTGACTTGCAGCTGGATGGGTAGCTTGTGCTTGTCTTCAGTCCCTGAGGGGCAGGTCACTTAAGGACAGTTGAGCCAGTTTCTGATGATGTTCTGCAGGGCAGGGGGTTTGGCGGGAGATGCCAGAGTGGGGAACTCTCCGCTGATCTTGATGTCGAAGAATTTAGCTGTAAAACAAAGAAAGATGTGGAAAATATCTCGATTACTGTGAATTCTCTAAACTACAGATCAGAGATCCGAATTTTTTTTTATCTGCCAGCAATATTTGATTGTTTGTTTGAAGAAATTCTTCACTTTTATAGAGAAATAAAGCCAGTTTGGACCAGTTTGATTAATGCCTTCTAAGCTCTCAGTCCTTATTACCAGTTATAAACATTTTTGGCTGAACTCCTTTAATTTGTTTGATGATGTTCACTACAAACACAAGAGGCCTGAAAAAACCTAGAGAAGTCTGTACATGTTAAAATCTCAGTTTGTAGGTGTGGGGAGATCAGATATTGTAGTATGATGATAAAAATTTGGAAGGTTACAGAATTTTGTCATTAGTGAAAGATTAGGGAGGATTGTTTTGTAGTATTTAGGCCACATGGTATGAAAAAATCTGAATTCTTAAAATTCTTACCTAGTGCAATGATTGATTAACGATTAAGCGTATTCATTTCCTTTAACATGTTTCACAGTCTGCGGCCATGTAGCCGCTTTAGGAAATGATTATATTAAAAACGTTGATTTGTGTTAAAAGTAGTGTAGCACAAAAATATGGCATTGCGCTCCAAGTAATCGGTGACTAATCTGCCTTTGTCTAAAGTTTTGAAAAATCCAAAAGTAACAAGTGCAAATGTTTGGGCTACACTCGATGGAATGGGATTATGTCACATGCAAAAAGCACACGTCAATGGCAGTCTTAGACATAACTGTTACAACACAGCTGTGAACAAAAGACTCAAACGTACGGAAGTCCGGAGAGGCCGTGAGCTGTTGCTATAATTTTCTGGATTGTTATCTCAAGATAACGAGTTAATTATCCTGTAATCTCAAGATAACAACTTTATCTTGAGAGCACAAGATCATTAACTGGTTATCTCGAGATAAGACTCGTTACATCAAAATAACAGTTATAACTACCTCATGGTCTCTCTGGACTTCCGTACAAATGAGCCTTTCACATTGTTTCAGTACTGGTTTTAATAAGCCCTCGTCCACTTGGCCTCACCTCCCCAGTGCCGTTCCATTGCTGTGTTCGCTGAAGTGAGGTTTATTAGCACAGTTGGCATGTCTGCTTATTATAAGCGACTTTGGGCTTATTTTTCTATGTAGTCGCTTACAAGTATCTGAATCACAATCGCACTATTGATGGTCCCTTAACAATACAGTTCCTTTAGCTAGTGCGTCAACAATGCCTGGGACTAATATATATAAAATAAATATGGGAAACTGTATCCTGTAATTTTAGAGTATTTTTGAAATGTTTGCTTATGGAAAGCAAAACAAAATAGACCTGGTTGCTTGTTTCTCTCGCGAGTTCTGGCAACCTGGTAATCCGATAACTGCAGAAAATCAGATTTAGTCAGTAATCCGATCACTGTGTTTACATGCACTTGAGTAATCAGATAATGGGGAAACTCCAGGTCTACGTGAGTCGGGCAGTAATCAGATTTCTGCTTTGGAATCAGCCAATAAACTCACAGAAGAAGACGCGACGTAAATGTAACGTAAAACTCAAACTTCATGCCGCAGCTTTTTTTAAAAGCATGGCGTCACTTTACCGGAAAATATGAACAAACATCATCTAGAAGGTGAAGAATAATTAAACCCTTTATTTCGTTAAGCATGTATTTGGTTTCAGCGCTGCTCCAAAAGTGTTTGGCTGACGTCTTGCGGCAACACTATTTGCTTATATCTGATTTCGCACATGCGCAGACTGAGAAATCTGAAAGAAATCAGAGTAAGAGTTCACATGCACTGAGAAATCTGATTACTGAGCTAAAATCCAGTTCTCTTTATCAGATTTCTTTGTCGGATTTCTAGATCAGAGTATGGTGTTTACATGACCATTTGAATAATCTGATAACTGCAATAATCCGATTATGATCGGATTACTGAGTGCATGTAAACGCACTCACTGTTGATTAGATGAGGGGCGAGTGAACACAAGTGTCCACTTCAGCAGCAGAACGTGCCCTGAAGTCATTGCAACCACTGTAGTTCCCTTTTTAACCCCCCCAAAAAGTAGACAAAGTAGTGCGCTTAGCTTCTAAGTTTTGTAGCTGGCCGATTAGCTAATCAGGCTCATGTGAGTGTGTTCTGAGTGGTGAGGTGGGCGTGATCATGTTAAATGGTCTGGCCTTTTTAAAAAGGGTACCCTGGTTCACTTAGAATGAAATTCTCAGCTTTGGCTTGTTTAGTGGGTGAAGCAGGACTTACGCCAGGAGAAGATGAAGTACTCGAATCCGTCGGGCTTCCTCGGGTTGGGCGCGGACAGAGCGGAGGTGACCGGGGTGGGGAACCCTTTCAAATTCAGGTTAATGTTGATCTCTGCAGACAGGCGGATCTCTGGAGTTCGAAGGCCGTGAACAACAAGAAAATGAGAGTCAGGTGAACACTGGCCCATTATATTAATACTCTTAATGAGAATTAAAGTGGTGTTTCCCACAGCCAGCTTTAGCTTAAGCCTAAACTTTTGTTTTAAACTTTATTGCCATTAACACACAAGTAACAATATCACCTTGAGGCTGGTCTTCTGGGATATAGCATATCAATGCTGTCGGAGCAAAACCTCATATCTCCATTATTGTCGTTACTTGGAAAAATGTCTGGTTCCTTTGACTTACATTAAAGGTGCAGTATGTTTTTCCTTCTCCTGTAAAGTTATCATTTTGGAGATTTTAAGAGCTTTTCTTCCGAGAACATACACATATGTTCCGATATATGCAGCTATATATATATATATATATATATATATATATACACACACACACACATACACACACACATATATATATATATATTGTAGAACCACAAAGTGCACCTATATAGTAGTAAGTGGAGCTGATAAAGGTCATTTTAGTTGTGATTGAGTGGTCTGGACATATATTTTCTGAGACATCATTGTCCACAACTGTATTCAACTCCAGTTCCTATTGTCCTTTGATGGGTAAAGTCTGACCTATCAAGCATTAGCTTGTTGTAAATATGGGATATTTGCTTTTTGTTGATGCAGAGTAACTTCAGCCTAAACTTAATGGTGCAACACCACTGACATTGCAAGACTTGCACATCTTAAAAAAGATGGTTCTTTGCATTGTGAAATGGTCCGTCAGACTGAAGGAGAATGTGCTGTACATGGTTCTATATAGAACCGTTTTGAAAAGTGCTCTTTATAGCACCAAAAAAGATTCTGCTATTGTTACGATGTCACGCTTCTGAAACCATCTGGGGCTATACAGAACAATTTTCAAAAAGGTTCTATACAGAACCATCGGCAGTGCATTCTCTAGCAACCTGAAGAACTCTTTTATGATGCAAAGAACCCTTTAATCATGCAAAGGGTTCTTTGAGTGTTTGTGGTTCTACATAGAACCATTTTGTTTTACTGAAAAACCCTTTAAGAAGCATCTTTTTTGAGTGTGTAGGCTTTATCCATATCCACAACACCGGCCCTCAGTGCTCAGGGTAACGAACTGCTTTTCAAGGTCTTATAATGGAGATTGTACATTAACATACAGAGCAAGTCCTCCGTGCCGTACCTGCTTGGCGAGCGCGGCGGAACTTGTTGTAAACAGAATTTTTCATTTTCTTTCCAGTGCAGGTTGGGCCGCTTCCAGCTGGGTATGAAAACTTCTGCATTGTACCTCCTAGAGAACAGACAGACTATGATTAATACTCTATTATTGAACCTGTCAGAAATATTCTCTGTTATGATTATAGAACAGTAAACAGGGGGGAGAGGTCAGCTTGTTTGAGCCAATTATAGTTCAGTACTAAAGCAAACAAAGCGAAGATAACCCTCCTTCACTGTTCCACTGTTCCCATCAACACATGTTAATGATGTACAGATAAATGAACCTCGGTTTTTGAATGAAATGATACGTAACAGACGAGTTATGGTTTCCTCTTTACCATTGAAGAGTTATGGCTTAGCATAAGGTGAGCGAAATGGCAAAAATATATCATGATACTTCAAGGAAGTTGCACAATACTCGATACAATATTTCACAATATTTATTTTTTCAGACATTTGATCGGTTAGAACAGAGATAGAAGAACCAGTAGTGCTACATTTAAAAAAAAATACTATCAAAAACTGTGAATACCATGATTTTTATTCAGTGGCTGTGTCTAAAACGTAATAAACGCTGCCTACGAATACAGTATTTTGAGGCAGAAAGGCAGCTAGTCATGTCCAAATCTAATGTTTATATAAAACGCCTGCTGAGGTTCTTCGGTTCGGCCGTTTTTTGTGTAGAAGTGTCCTTCGCTGCCTTACATAACCCTTAATCCTGTGTGCACGACGATGGGGTTAGAAATAGGAGAAAACACCAGGAGAGACACAGTGGACAACGCTGCCTTCTAAGGCACTGACCTATGAGGCAGCGGAGGTGGCAGGGCATCGAGGCAGTTGCCTTCAGCTTTGGACACAGCCAGGATTCTGCATGCTGTGTTGCACTAAATACAGTTAAATGGTAATTTTGCTCTCTTTATAATGAAAAAAGTATCAACAAGTTCTGACGGCACCCACAATACGTTCAGACCAGCATGTTGTATCGTAACATGATTTATCATGATAATGATATATCACGTCAGCCCTTAGCATTAGTTGAAGCTTAACTAGTGCTAAGCTTGATTGTAATACGTTGCATCCTTTAATACTTTCACCTTTCTTGAAGAAGTAAATGGCCTCGGGCCTCTTGCGGGTGGCGGGGACAGTCAGAGCAGCACTGATTTCTCCAAAAAGTCCATCAAAGTCCTGAGACAGAGACCTGGGGTAGCCTGGCTCCATCACGCCGTTCTCAAACACCCAGTAATTATCACCCTGAGGAGAGAGGAAGAAGAGAGAGAGGAAGAGGTTACCAGCTGAGGACCAGAGTGGGGGATACGACAGAGACTATATAATTCTGAAGTTATATTCTCTTATACAACAGTGAGTTCCAGCCACGCAAGCTGATTGGTTGAGAGGCGTTCTAACTGTGCTGTTATTTCACCATAACATCACGGGTTTTTCACAAACACTGTATCACTCTGCTGAGACGCCGTTGCTAAGCAACGACTTTGACAGCTGTAGGAGACACTCAAGCCATCTGAACGTTTGTACTTTTTACATTGTCACAAACAGAAAATGCACACTTTTAAGATCACATTTGACCGACAGCAGCTTTTCGGTCGGCAGCTGTGACAGAAGAACAGCTAAACAACCTGGAATCAGACAGAAATTAACCCAATACCATTCGCTGAACTAAATGGGCTGTAAGATGCTTTACAGACTGGCTGGAACAAAACAACATTAATACTGATCTGGCAAAAATTGACAAAACTGAGCTGAACCTGATATTGTGGCAGTTTTATGGCTCAGTCTGTACTTCAAAAGGCGAGGCTTACAGCAGACTGTGCAGAATGAGCAGAGCTCGTTACTCTGACGTAGCAACAAGCTGCTCGTTAAGGAACTATAATTTGGTGAAGGAACTGCGAACATTAAAACACATTAAACGCCGCGTTCACGGCCCAGTTTATTAATTTATTACTGTATTTATTTAACTGTTGTATAAAAGCAATAGAACACTTGAGGAGAGTTATCGCCAATAACATCACGGCTGTGATGATCTACGGCGACCAAATCACAGCCGTGATGTTATTTCGTGACATCACACTTCCTCTCGTGCTCTACTGCTTAATTAAATCGTCTTTAACTCTGTTTTTAGTGGGTGTAAGGGGGCAATGACGTCATAGTACTTTGAGAACTTTGTTTTATTTACAAGGAACAACATCGCTGACTAGGAAAGAACTGTGTAAACCAATAACAGGTACTGAAATTAGGGATACACTAAATCTTGGACTGCTGAAAATGTCGAGACTATAGTTTTCGTCTGAAACAGCACAAAATCCAAATAGTACTAATTATAGGCCAAAAGCGCCTCTTCTTGGGACTGCCGAAGTTCCAAAGCCACGGCCCCATGCTTTACATATTAAAAAATTAAAATAAAAGAGCAGAGTCGCTCTGGAATTCAGCTTTAGATGCATTTTGTAAAACTATTTAGTATCACATTTACATAATTTTAAAACTTAATATTTAATATTATTTAGCAAAGTAGTTGAGCTATTCTCCGGTTATAGAAGTGCGTAGTAAAACTTTGGCCACATAAGGGCTAAAGGGGTTCTTTCTCTGTCCCAACATGGTGATCATCACCTGTGAAGCATCGTCAGCATCATTATGTAAATTCAAAAATATCAGTAAAACCTAATTTATATCTAAATACAGAACTCTTTCTTTCCATTTTCAGTTTTTGTCCATTGTCCATTGGTGCATCACTAACTGAAGTAGTCAAATCTCAGACCTTGATAATGAAGGTCTTGCCCTGGCAGTTGCAGCGGGTGAAGGCCGTGTCGATGGGGGAGGGAACGCCCAGTTGTTCTGTGATGCTCTGGGCAGGACCAGCCACTTTGGTCTTCGGGTCCAGAAGCCAGAAGAAATGACCTGAGGAGCAGAGGATATGGATGATATGAGTCATAGCAGCGCCGGCCTTGAGGAACATCCTCAGTAAAGGAGCTGAGCAGAGACGAAGGGCTTTACCTTTGAAGACGATGATGGAGCCGTTGAACAGTGAGGTCAGAGCGTCGATGGGAAGGCCGTTACAGAGGTCAGGGCTGGAGCTCTCATCTTTCAGTGGACAGAGGTAAGGGGATTAGTGGGATTAATGGGACATACATATAGAGTTGTAAACTATTAAACTGTGTTAAGTGTTAAATGTTGTTGCTGCTTAATCCTCTGATGTCAGCCACACTGTTTCTCACCTTTATAGTTCAGCAGTAAATTATAAACAACTGGATAATTATATAAATAGATATGTATATATATTATAAATATAGATATTCCTATTTATATGAACATTTACACGTTTATTTCTTTCAAATGCAAATGTAGTTACTCTCATAACTGCCTAACATACATCAAGTCTACAGCAGTTATTGAATAATAACAATAAGCCAAGGTTCAATAATCGTAACAGCAGATGTATTATTCTGTATTTAATCTTACTAATAATTCAGTATCTGCTACTAATAATTGAGTATCTACTATTAATTACTCAGTAATTTCAATGAATTATTCAGTAACTTATTCAGTAATTTATTGAATTATTTGGTAACTACTACAAATTATTGAGTATCTACTATTAATTATTTAGTCATTTCAATGAATTGTTTGGTAAACTACTATCATTATTGAGTATCTAATATAAATTATTCAGTAATTTCAATGAATTGTTCGGTAACTGCAATAAATTATTGAGTGTCTACTATAAATTATTCAGTAATTTCAATTACAGCCTAGTCTCTATCGGCTCCATCAGTAGAATACGGTCCACTACCATGAATAAGGTCATCTTATCATATTCGTTTTCATATCATATCATATCATATTAGGTTTACAAATGCAAGAGAATTCCTTCAGTAATGCATTAACAGTGAAAGTGCAGCCCTTACTGGGCAGTCCTGCTGGGATGTTGGCTCCCAGGGCCTGAGTGATATCTGCCAGTGTGCTGGGTTTTCCAGCTCCACCTGCAGGTCCAGATCCGCTGGGGAGAAGGCTGGGGGCTCCACCTGCAGGTCCAGATCCGCTGGGGAGAAGGCTGGGGGCTCCACCTGCAGGTCCAGATCCGCTGGGGAGAAGGCTGGGGGCTCCACCTGCAGATCCAGATCCACTGGGGAGAAGGCTGGGGGCTCCACCTGCAGGTCCAGATCCACTGGGGAAAAGGCTGGGGGCTCCACCTGCAGGTCCAGATCCACTGGGGAAAAGGCTGGGGGCTCCACCTGCAGGTCCAGATCCACTGGGGAAAAGGCTGGGGGCTCCACCTGCAGGTCCAGATCCGCTGGGGAGAAGGCTGGGGGCTCCACCTGCAGGTCCAGATCCACTGGGGAAAAGGCTGGGGGCTCCACCTGCAGGTCCAGTTCCGCTGGGGAAAAGGCTGGGGGCTCCACCTGCAGGTCCAGATCCGCTGGGGAGAAGGCTGGGGGCTCCACCTGCAGGTCCAGTTCCGCTGGGGAGAAGGCTGGGGGCTCCACCTGCAGGTCCAGTTCCGCTGGGGAGAAGGCTGGGGGCTCCACCTGCAGGTCCAGATCCGCTGGGGAGAAGGCTGGGGGCTCCACCTGCAGGTCCAGATCCGCTGGGGAGAAGGCTGGGGGCTCCACCTACAGGTCCAGATCCACTGGGGAAAAGGCTGGGGGCCCCACCTGCAGGTCCACCAGCATGTCCACTGATAGAGAGGGACACTTTTATGGGGATGGTGAGCGGTTTCCCTGAAGGAGAACCTCCAGGCTGAGGTGAACCTGCTGCAGGACCCCCTAATGCTGACAAAAGGACAGTCAGGAAATTAGAGACCACCATTTAGTAAAGGCACAAACTGGAACCAGAGCTACACTGTAAAAATGTGTGCTGTAAATATACGTTTATTGACGTGATCCAGCTAAGCTGTATTTTGAGACCCCTACGCCGTCCAAGGCACAATAAAATGAGGTGTAAACAAAGTCAGTAATTTTAATTGTTTTAGAGAAACTTAGTGAGTCAGAATCATTCACAGTGGTGGTGATAGGAACCAGACGTCCACCCTCACCCTCACAGTTCTCTCACAGGAAGTTATTACATGAAATGGTTATGAATACAATACATCTAATATGAATTTCTAAAATCTATTTATGGTGGGGATGTACATGCAGGGCGTTGTGAGGCAAAATAGACCCTAAAGAATTTTCAACTTCAGATTTTCCACAATTTAACCATCAACCACGTTACATATAAAAACTCGTGTAGGTTCACTGGTGGTTTTGGATGGTAAATAAAATGTCTGTATTTGTGTTGTAGTCATGCCAACCCCTGGTTCCTATCACCACCACTGTAAATCGGAGTCTGTAAGTATCTTTAGAGTTAATTTTTCCTATTGAACTACTTTGAATGACTCAATCTCAAAAAGTGAATAATGCAGGAATTTTGAAAAATTGGTGGAATTTCTCTTTAAAAAGGCCAGTATAATGTATCATGTTATGTATCTGTTTAAAAGGGTGTAAACCGAACACAGGGTGTGAAACGCACATGCTTTGGGCATTTTTTAGCTGGCAAGGCAGCATTTAATTACAAACAAATTGTTTGCCTGCCCCATATTACATCATTCACATCAACGCTTTGCTTGTCACCTTATTAACAGTATTTTTTCCATTAAATTTTATGTGACAAAATGAGGACCCTTCCTAGGACAGTCCTAGAGAGGACCCACCTCTCTCAGCCGCAGTCGAGCTATCAGAACGCAGCCTGCAGGTGAAAAAGCCCATTAACCCAATAAAATATGAAATTTTCTGTGAATTTGAGATTCAGGACTGTCCTGATCCTCACCTGGTGCGTTAGCTGCAGGGTTGGCAGGTAGCACAGGGTAGAGCCCAGGGTTAGAAGGGAGAGGGGCTCCAGTGGGGTCAGCTGGATCTTTGGTTAGTGGCATTAACTCACTCAGACTGTCCAGAACAGTGGGCCCAGCTCCTGTGGTGAAAAGACAAGCAGCTTTACTCTTAACGCACCTGACTCAGAACTGCACAGTATCTATTTTATTATTTTTAATTTTATTTATTTAACTTTAGTTTCATTGTACCCCATTAGGCTCACTCGCTTAAAGGGGAATTCTGGTGATTATTCAAATCTTAATGCATAATTGAGTTGATAAGACTACAAACAGAGTCATTCAGAGTGGTTTGGTGTGAAATGGTTGGTTGTAGAGACTCAGATGTCTTTACAGTGGTGGTGATAGGAACCAGGGGTCGCCATGACCACAACACAAATATAGACATTTTATTTACGATCCAAAACTGCCAGTGAACCTACACGAGTCTTCTGAGTGTTTATATGTATTTATTTGTAATGTTTATGATGGTCAAATAGTGATAAATATGAAAAATGGATTTCAAAAATATATTTTATGCCAAAACTTTGTCTTATCTATTGTAAATCGCCAGAGGTGGACATCTGGTTCCTATCACCACCACTGTGAACAGTTCTGATTCTCTAAGTTTCGCTAGAACAGAGCGTTTCACACCAAACCACACTGAATGACCTTGTTTATGTCTTACTGAATTAATTATGCAGAAAGTTTGACCAATCAGTGGAATTGCCCTTTATGTACTTTCTGTAACTATTGTGTTGCTTTATTTTCATTTTATTACCATTTCTTTTTTCCCCTGTTCTTGAGCAGCACTCATTTGTAAAAAGGTTGTACAGATAAACGTACTGCATTCTTTAGAAGAAGGGAAAGTGCTAAAGTGTGCAGTGTGCAATAGCCTGTTTCACGCTACTCTGCTGTCCACTGCAGTCCAAACTCACCGCGTCTCAAAACACCTGGACCATTCTCAGCTGGGGATGGTGTTGACCCGACCTGAGCGTCAGCGTAGTCTGAAAACACTGCAGAGAAACAAACAAACATCTTTCCACTCACTTTCTGTCAATCAATCTCCATTAATGAACAAATAAAACTATTAATATTGGCGCAATTAATACAGAGAAAGCCAAAAATCAGATGTTTTTCAGTCGGATGGTAAACAAGTGCAAATATACAATAGGTTGTCATACAGAAAGCTTGATCACATTAGCATAATCATCAAAAGCTGGAATTGTGGACAAGATCTTATACCATATCAAACCTTTCAATCTGCTTCCATCTCTATTTTAGTTTTATTATCATTTCTATCTGTGTCATCACTCACATACGGTCTCATGCAGAAGTTTGGGTCAGATGACGTGGTTTTTGTTGACTTTCTAAATAACATATCCTCTACAGTGACCACACTTCTGCACATTTTAATGCACAATTACTGTTTATTTACTAAATTTAACATATTGGAGGAAAATAAAGAAGAAAATGTGGCTTGTGCAAAAAGTTATGGCACATTTTGTTTTTTATTTTTTGTGCTACACTCAGCAAATAAATAGAAATTCTGCACAAAAATTGTCAGATAAATTTAAGTTTGCCTTCTGTTCCTTCTTATTTTTACATAGAAAAATCAACAGAACATGTAATCTGATTGTAGGTGCTCAGGCCCTTATGTACGTCAGTACAGGCTCCAGTTTTATATACTCTACCTGGCTTTTCCTTTAAAGGATAAGTAAGCAGAGAAGAGCCACCCTTCTTACTTTACCATAGATTACCTATCCATTACCTATGGCTGTCTATTCTAAATGACCTGTGTGGTCAGTCAGTGACCCTGTCAGACTGTGTTGGCCCACGGCTCACGTACCTCTGCTCCTCTCCTCACTCTCGCTGTCTGACGGCTTCTTAGGAGGTTTCAGAGGCTGCATATCTGGCTTCTCCTGTGATTTGGTCTTGGGTGGCCCTAAAGACAATTCAGCAATAATATTGCACTCAGTATTCTACAAAAAACACAGAATATATATATTCAAGCACAGATATAGTGGGGTCTGAGGCCACATTGACAATCTGGGATTTTCATTTAAACCTGAATATAAATTAAAAAAGTTTTAGAATCTTGAAAAATGTAAAAAAAAAAGTATTGATAAGTAAAATAAAGAAGAAATATTGAAGATTCTGCAGTATTTCCAGCTCACTATTTAAATTTAAGCAAATAGTGGCTACTAAAAAATCATAAATTCACATTAAAATGTCAAAGATTTAGCTTTTTTGTAAATTGTCAAGCCAATAATATAATTTATAATGGGAAAAAATACTTTAATTAGGATTACTGAATATGAGAAAGGAGTGCAAATAGAAGCACTTTCACTAGCCTAAGACTTTTGGACCCCCACTGTATCTACTGCTGATCAGAAGCCCCTCAGACAATCAGGGCTGATTAATGTTGGGGTGAATTGTTACATTTATACAGCACCTGTTGGCTTGGACTGCTTAGCGTTCCTGGCTGCTAGTGCTCTGTCAGTGGCATCTAAAATAAAACAGTTGATAATACTTGTTAACACAGACTGCAATGAGTGAAGTTAGAGGAATATGTTTGCAACAAATTCAAATTTATATAGTTTTGCTCTTACACAATTTAGCATAGCCTCTTTCTGCACCAGCGGAATGAAAATCAACTTGTATATTTTTTATTAATATAATCAAATTAAATATTTTCCACCTATAACTCTGTTATCAGATAAACTACTCGACGTATCAAGATGTTGAAGCAACGTAGAAAATAGAATTTAAACACAATAAAACACTTACATACACCGATCAGGCATAACATTCTGACCACCTCCTTGTTTCTACACTCATTGTCCATTTTATCAGCTCCACTTACTATATAGGTGCACTTTGTAGTTCTACAGTTACAGACTGTAGTCCATCTGTTTCTCTGCATACTTTGTTAGCCACCCTGTTCTTCAATGGTCAGGACCCCCATGCACCCTCACAGAGCAGGTACTATTTGGGTGGTGGATCATTCTCTGACGTGGTGGTGGTGTGTTAGTGTGTGTTGTGCTGGTACGAGTGGATCAGACACAGCAGTGCTGCTGGAGTTTTAAACACTGTCCACTCACTGTCCACTCTATTAAACACTCCTACCTTGTCAGTCCACCTTGTAGATGTAACGTCGGAGACGATAGCTCATCTGCTGCTGCACAGTTTGTGTTGGTCATCCTCTAGTCGTTCATCAGTGGTCACAGGACGCTGCCCACAGGACGCTGCCCACAGGACGCTGCCCACAGGACGCTGTTGGCTGGATATTTTTGGTTGGTGGACTATTCTCAGTCCAGCAGTGACACTGAGGTGTTTAGAAACTCCAGCAGCACTGCTGTGTCTGATCCACTCAGACCAGCACAACACACACTAACACACCACCACCACATCAGTGTTGATGGACTACAGTCTGTAACTGTATGTGCTATAGATGGTTCTATATAGAACCTTTTTGAAAAGGGTCCTAATTAGCACCATGAACATTCAAAGAACGCTTTGCATGATTAAAAGGTTCTTTGCATGGTGAAAGCGTTCTTCAGAGTGACTGAGAATGTGCTGTAGATGGTTCTATAAGGAACCTTTTCGGAAAGGGTTCTATATAGCACCAAAAAGGGTTCTGCTATTGTTACAATGTCAGGCTTGTTACAGTAGAAGAACCCTTTTCAAAAAGGTTCTATACAGCACATTCTCCATCAATCTGAAGAACCATTTCACCATGCAAAGAACCATTTAATCATGCAAAGGGTTCTTTGAAAGTTCATGGTGCTATATAGAACCATTGAACCACGAGGAGATTGAAGAAGAAGCATCATTTTTAAGTATGTAGGCCAGTCCATTCCTCAGTATTGACCGTATTTATTAGTGTGTTTGTAGAGATGTTGTACCGCATTGTTCGTGGTAGTCGAAGCAGCAGGTGTTGTAGAGAGTGCAGTCCGGGTCACACTCGCACCCCTTCCCCCTCCGAAACGTCTCCCCACACCGACCCCTGCACGATCCACCTGTCAATCAACAGCACACCTTTACCTTTACTTTCTACGGTAAGGTGTGACTGGAACCACCCTACATCCCTCACAACAGGCAGACAGATGACAAAAATACTGTATATGTGAATCATATAAACATATAGTATATAAAATTAGCACTCAGTAGCAGTAATGTTAACCAATCAGCACTCAGTAGCAGTAATGTTAACCAATCAGCACTCAGTAGCAGTAATGCTAACCAATCAGCACTCAGTAGCAGTGATGCTAACCAATCAGCACTCAGTAGCAGTAATGTTAACCAATCAACATTCAGAATCAGTAATGTTAACCAATCAGCACTCAGTAGCAGTGATGCTAACCAATCAGCACTCAGTAGCAGTGATGCCAACCAATCAGCACTCAGTAGCAGTAATGTTAACCAATAAGCACCCAGTAGCAGTAATGCCAACCAATCAGCGCTCTGTAGCAGTAATGCTAACCAATCAGCACTCAGTAGCAATAATGCCGACCAATCAGCACTCAGTAGCAGTAATGCTAACCAATCAGCACTCAGTAGCAATAATGCCGACCAATCAGCACTCAGTAGCAATAATGCCAACCAATCAGCACTCAGTAGCAGTAATGCTGACCAATCAGCGCTCAGTAGCAGTAATGCTAACGTCCTGCTGTTTAAAACTATTTTGCAATACAGTTTTCTTTGATTTTATAATTAAATAAATCCTTCTACTCTCCAGAATTGAAGGAATTACCTGCATAAATTCATAGAAAGAGGGTCATTTTTTGTTTTTAGCCATTCAGCTCATTTCAGCCCCATCAAACAATCCCATATTTTTGGTATAAAGTAAGAAATAGGCAGTGGCCAGGCTCCCTTGTTGGTTCTGCTAGTGTTAATGTCTCATCCCACCTCCAGCAGTGCAGGAGACCCAATCAGCGTTCTCAACAAGGACACTGACAGGAACCCACACAAGCAGGATCTCACAAAGGCACATATGTTTGTAGTCACCAGTTCAGGTGTATATGAAGCAAAAAGGCCTGAGACCATTTTAAACGTACTTGATGTAAGAGGGATGCAGTCAAACCACTTGAATACACAGATGGTTCTTTGCATGGTTAAATGGCTCTTCTTGTCACACATGGTTCTTCAAAGAACCTTTTAAAATTGTTCTATATAGCACCAAAAAAGAGTTCCAATATTGTTACAAGTTATAGAACCTTTTTTGTTTGGTACTGTACAGAACGCTTCTTGGTCAGAGTGTAGATGTTAAGAGTCTTTAGCAGTTATTAAGCAGCGAGTCCATAACCATGGTGAGAGAGTCTGTTTTTAGAGGTGAGTGAGTGTCGATCGGCCTTACGGAAAGTGCAGACGTCCTCATAGTCCTTGCAGCATTCGTCGTGTGTGATGCAGTTGTAGTCGCAGTTACACAGCTGACCCCGGATGAAGGGCTCTCCACATCGCCCCCTGCAGCTCGCTGCACAGCAACACAGCACAACTCTGGATCTACTGTACATCTCTGAGTGGGAATCAGCTAAACTCTTAATGCAGTGTGACGGCTGAGGCATCGCTAACGTGAAACCATGAAAAGTTCACTTTTCAAAATGCTTTAATACAAATGAGCATGTTCTCTTCATCAGACTGACCATATTAGACCAAGCAGGTCTATTTAGAGAAAAACAATATCAGGTGTGAATATTCGTGGCAGTATTAGTCACAGTGCTACATGTTCAGAAATATATTTATGTGATATTGTTTTCTTCTAACTCATACTGAAATCTGATATATGGCAATGTGACATATATTAGGATGTATTGATTTCCCATATATCAAACTGATATTAGATATATATGCCAACTTATTTAAAACTGGCTATTTTCAAATATGGGACCTATAGTTTAGTCATATGTAACCATGTATGAACACATGTGTAACACAACAACAATATATGATAGAAAGCATTAATCATATAATAATGGATGGCACATATTACTCACATATCACTGCTGTCGGAAGAAAACCTTGTATCTCCATTTTTGTTGTTTTTCAGTTTTTGACATAATTTGAAAAAGCCTGTTGACCTTTACATTGTGTGCAAATCCTATGAAGAATGGACCAAAAGAAACAGCCCAAAATTGCTTGGAAAAAATTCTGGTTCCATTGACTTACATTAAAAGTAAAGTAGGTTTTTTCCTTCTCCTGTAAAGTTACCATTTTGGAGATACGAGGTTTTCTTCTGACAACAGCGATATGCTAGTTATTGCATTATTGCATGTATGCTGCTGCTGTATTTCATTTAGATTTTTGGTTAAAGAAAAGTGTTTCAGTGTTTGTATCAGACATATATGTAAGGTCCATATATATATATATATATATATATATATATATATATATATATATATATATATATATGATGATTTTCACTGATGGTTTTGGCTGGTCAGAGTCCAGATTTAAATCCTATAGAGAATATTTAGTCTCACATTAAACACAAACAAGCTTGACAATGTTTTTCAACTCTCTAAAGCCGTCGACAATATTGACTCTTCTTTCTGTAAAAGATTATCTGCAAATTTACACACTTCAACATTTAAAGAAATCAAAAGAGAAAGTTGTATTAAGTTACTATATCTGTGTTGTTAAGACTATCAAAAGCTTAATATTTTGCATTTTGGCCCATTTATTTCGCCCAGGAGTGTACGTACATGTACATATATTTTGAAATATATGCCTGATGATATATGTATATATATGATAATATATGGCTATATATTAGACTTCTGTAGGGAAAATAAACCAGCTTAGTCTGTAATGTAAGTTATTGCAACAGCAATAACAGCGGTTTGCAATAAATTTAAAAAGTTTGAGCTGTAAAAGCTGAAATCTGTAAAAGTGTCTGACCTTGGGCAGCACACAGGGGCAGGAGAACATAGGTCATCAGTAAGAGAGAGGAAATCAGTGAAGATCCAGCCATCATAGCGCTCTCAGTGGAGAATGACCAAAACAGACTGAGAGAGACAAGAGGCAGGCGGGGTCATACACAATTCCATATAATATAATATAATATAATATATACTCTAATAATGAACACTACAACATTACAGTTTAAAAATAAAGGAAAAATTAATAAAGATACAACCTATAGAACATAAAACCCAAAGACCCAGTAGAGCAGGGCAGCTTACCTACAGTCCGGTCAGAGGTCCAGTTGGTTTGTCCGGCTGCAGTTTGTCTCTTATATACCCTCGAGCAGCTGGATTTCTCCTGTGGACCAGAGCATTGTGTAATTAACCACTGCAGCCCAATTAAACCACAATGATGCAAAAGACTGACCTCCTACACACGTCCACACACTGTGTGTTTTAGCGTGTATCTGTATTACTGTCTTCATAAGGACCTGCTACTGAACAATGAATTAATACTGAGAAAAGTGCTGAACTGAATTTGCTTGTTTTTAAATGTGCATCATTTCCACATGAATATCTATTAACATCTATATTACATCAACATTATATTATTATACTATATTACATTATTTTATCTTTCCGTTTACTTACATTTAACTGTGTATGAACTGATCTAATACATATTATAATCAAGTAAGCTGAATGCATGACTTTTCTCAGTGAGGTTAATGAAGCCTAAGGGTCTGTGTTTTATTTCTCACTCTCATAACTACATAACTTACATGTTTTATAGTAGTTATTGAATCATTTATAGACATTAATGACTAATAAGAATTTATTTATCCTTTTTCTTATATATTTAATCTTCATTATCAGATTTCATGTTTAACCGCAGCTTCAGGAGCCAAAGTGAAATTGTTTTTGTTTTTTTTTGTAAGTGAAAACTGCATTTTATACTCAAGAGGAAACAAAATACAGAACGCCCCACAATCTGAGAATTTTAATGTTTAAACATTTTAGGTTTGCTTTCATATGGAAATGAAAATAGGTAAGCAGTTTTTCTTCTTCTCTGTCTCTGGCAACAGCGTGTCAAATTTTGGCTTGGCCTTTCAAGAATATATATATATATATATATATATCTCCAAAATGGTAACTTTTCAACATAGTATGTCAGAATTTTATCTTAATAACTCAAAATCTCAAGATGTCAAAGATTCTGTATATATATATATTCGAGAAGCCCCAAATATTCTGTGATGACTCTCACTGGGACGAAGCAATCTGAACAAAACAATGTGCAATGAGGTCCTCAGTATATGGAGCTTTGAACAAGCCGGGATGCCCCTGCGTCGGAGCGACGAGGAAGGTGCCGGACAGCCGTCGGGATGTTTAACCTCCGTTTGCAACTTCTGGGTGCAGACCCCCGTACCCCTTCATGTGTCTGGCAGAAAACAGAGATCACTTCCAGCTTTGCATGTAATGCAATCAATGGTCAAGGTATGTAGCGTATTTTTTTGTTTTGACAGCAGAGATATTTTCTCAAAATATTGATTCAGTATCTCAAGATAGTGATTTATTTTTTTCTTGAAATATTGTCTTAGTATCCCAATATAATGGCACATGTTCTCAAAATGTTGACAAATATTGAGAAACTTTGACTTACTATACCAAAATAATGATTTATTCGAAATTTAGCACACTATTTTTAAAAGTGTCAGAATGTTGACTTAATAACTCAAAATCTTAAGTCATATTTGTGAAAACAAGCCATTATTTTGAGATACTGCATCACTATTTCAAGAAAATAAGTCACTACTTTGAGATACTGCATCACTATTTCAAGAAAATAAGTCATTATTTTGAGTTACTTTGAGTTACTGCTAAAAACCGAAAACCCCACAGGTTCCCACAAAGAGAGTAAAACACACCATCCAGCCTACAAAAGTGCATCTGTCTGCCTGAGGATCGATGAGATCACAGTGAATAGATGCTGTTTTACGAGTCAAACAGTGGCAGCTTTTAAAGATCAGGCTAAATTAACGCGGTTCATTCTGAACTCTCGTGTTACAGTGTGGCCACCTCAATGGCCAAAAGAGGACTTTTAATCAACGGCCCGAAAGCCACAGACACGTGTAGCAGCAGGACTCTCACACTGTATGTTTTCCCTCTGCCACTCGTGTGTCTTTTCTCCGCCTCCACTGCTGTCTGTTCAGGTTGTTGAGGTGAGGGTAATTGTTCTTGGGGGTTTCGTGTGGGCCTCATGGCTGTTTTCGGCCGCCTGCTCGTGTCAGACAGACTCATATTACCAGCCCTGAGGTCACGCTGCTCAGTTTAATCCTGAAGTTGGTGATGGAGGAAACTGATTTAGATATTTTTGTGGTATTGGAATCAGACGGGGATCGTTTTTCACACTCCCACTGACTGTAATGAATATCTGCTGATGTGAGTAACGCGTGACAACAGACAAAAGGCCGCACATGAGCTTGGCTGACCTAAACAATCAGTTCCTGCACTGTGTGGTGATAATTTACTCTGAAATTGCTGAAATATACTGTTGGGGAGCCTCAAAAACAGAGGTAGAGCTGGATGATTTGGCAAAAATTTAATATCAGGATATTTGAAGATGTTTTCATGATTTATGATATGTCACATTTTTTTCTGACATCTGATAAGTTGGAACACATTTAAAAACTAGTGTCAAAAACTATGAATCCAATTACTTACATTGGGCTGCAATAAATTCACTTAAACAGGACTAATTATGCTCTTTGCAATCAAACATTAATTTACAAAGTACTGACTATATCCACAATGCGGTTGTCAAAAAATGACTTTTTCCTAAAAATATTGATTTAGTATCTCAAAATAATTACTTATTTTCTTGAAAATTCTGATTTACTATCTCAAAATAATTAAAATATTAATCAAATATTGAAATATTCTTTGAAAATGTTGACTTACTTTGATTTATCTTTAAATTTATAACTCATTATTTCAACATACTATGTCAGAATTTTACCTTAATAACTAAAAATCTCAAGATGTCAAAATTTTGCATTGATTTGGAAATTTGAGTTGTTTAAAGTCCTGACCACGTCCACAATGTGCTCAGAAAAAGTACCGAACTGTGATGAAATATGTCACAATAATGATAAATATTGTTATACTGCACAGCTGTACATGATGGTTAACCAGTGGGAACCTTCAGGACCTTCAAGGCAGAGAAGATCTAATGACTTCCGTTTAAAAAAAAGTCTGCAATTTTTAGTTCAGTTTTGTTTGAAATAATCCTCATACTTATATAGCTTAAGGGTTGAATAGGCAGGTGTATGTAAATATGTTGAAACCTTGATTTCTAAACAGGCTGTTTTTGCAGCTTTGTTTATATATATGGACTGTATGGACTGGGACGTGCACAGTATACATACATACATACATCACCTAAACCGCTTATCCTTCTGGGTCGCGGTGGGGTGCTGGAGCCTATCCCAGCTGTCATTGGGCGGAAGGCAGGATCGTGCACAGTATATGATTTGAAACTTTAGCAATGTTTACATGCTACACCAAACACTTTTGTTTAAAAACAGGGAGGAAATTTACAACCCCATTTCCAAAAAAGTTGGGATGTTGTGCAAAATGTAAATAAAAACAAAATGCAATTATATACAAATCATTTAACCCAAATAGTTCATTGAAAATAGTACAAAGACAACATATCAAATGTTAAAACTGAGAAATTTAATTGTTTTTTGAAAAATATTTGCTCATTTTAAATTTGATGCCAGCAACATGTTCCAAAAAAGTTGGGACGGGGGCAACAAAAGGCTGGTAAAGTTGTGTTATGCTAAAAAAAAAAACTGTGTCCTCCGAGCTAAAGACCACTCAGCTTGTTATCAGTGTACAGTTCAAAAACCAGTATTTATGATGGTGTAGGGGGGCTTTAGTGCACATGGTATGGGTGACATGCACATCTGTGAAGGCACCATTAATGCTGAATGATATATACATGTTTTGGCACCATATGCTGCCATCCAGACGACGTCTTTTTGAGGGAAGGACTTGATTATTTCAGCAAGACAATGTCAAACCACATTCTGCATGTATTACAACAGCATTGCTCTGTATTAAAAGAGTCCAGATGCTAAACTGACCTACCTGCAGTCCAGACCTGTCAGCACTGAAACATTTGGCACATTATGAAATGAAAAATATAACAAAGGAGACCCTGAACTGATGAGCAGCTGAAATCATATATCAAACAAGAACGGGAAAACATTTCACTTTCAAAACTACAGCAGTGTCTCCTCAGTTCCCAAACACTTACAGAGTGTTGTTAGAAGAAGAGGTGATTAAACTCAGTGGTAAACAGGCCCCCGTCCCAACTTTTTTGGAACGTATCGTTGGTATCAAACTCAAAATGGGCAAATATTTTTCAAAAAACAATAAAATTTCAACATTTGATCTGTTGTCTTTGTACTATTTTCCTTTAAAAATATGGTTTACATGATTTGCACATCATTGCACCCTATTTTTATTTACATTCTGCACCGCGTCCCAACTTTTTTGGAAATAGGGTTGTAGTTTTTCCAGGATATATAAATATAATTATTTTGGTATAATTAGAAAATAAATTTTCAAGAATACTCTGAATATACAAATGTGAATTACTTACACAGAAGTGGAGCATAGACAGTAAAAACAATACACAAAATAAAAAACAGCCCTAAATATATATTCTCATGCACACTTTATTAAATATGATTTATGCATTGATTTTACTTGTTTATCATCAATGCACTGATACATTTTTATACCCCTAGTTTCAATTTCTTTGAAATCCTACACAAAAGCGTTCTTCATTTGTTATGATTTCAAGTCTGTAACAATAGAAGAGCCCCTTATTGGTGCTATATAGAACCCTTTTCAAAAAGGTGCTATGTAAAAGCATATACAGCACATTCTCCATCAATCTGAAGAACCCGTTCATGATGCAAAGAATCCTTTAATCATGCACAGGGTTCTTTGAGTGTTCATGGTCCTATACAGAACCATTTTTCTTTACTAAGGAACCCTTGAAGAACCATCTTTTAAGTGTGTTCTACAATCCCGCTGTTAAAGGTGCAGTTTAAGAGGAGCCCCTTCTCTCAAACACAGTTTGGTATAGTTCGGTAAGTGAAGCTGGATGTTAAGTGTAACAAATACAGAGCATTAAAATATCCAGCATAAACGGAATAATCTGTGAGGCTGTGATCTTCATTCCCAGAGATGTAAGAACATTTTTACTGATACA